CTGAAAAAGATATTTGTGTAAGGTAAAAAGTTGTTTTTCGTGATCAGCAACTCTCACTCTATCAAATGATGTAAAAAAACGGCAAAAAAAATTTTTACTTGAATTTCGCATTGCCTGCACCTTATATATTTACTTATTCTGTTTGTCATTCAAACGTTTTTTCTTTTTAGCCATATGTGCGCTATATATTAATTAAACAATCTTTTTTTCTCGAATTTTCCTGTTTTTTCTTCGCAAATAGTTAATCGTGGAGATCATTAATGATATTCTTCGCACATTTGTTACTCGTAAAAAGCTTCAAATGATCGACACTGAAATTGCTGACCTACTTAATTGTACGAAAGAGTATTTAGAAAGAAAAATGTCGATATTATCATCACAAAATTTATTCAAAGCACATTTAACTAGAGATTGATCATACATCAATTAATTTCAATCCGATAATATGAGTCTTTTTATTTTATCGGCACTATGAAACTGTATACTTTATTTTGCTTTTTGTTTAGTGGTACTTACTCTCGTCTGATACTATGCAAACTATTCTATAGGAGAAAGAATGTCTCTACTAAAAAAAAAATCATTTTTATCTCTTTGTCAAATGTCATTTTCCAGCAAAAATATATTAGTTTTTCTATTTCAAATTAGCAATCTGAAAAAGCATTTTTTTACTTTTCCTCTATTTGTTTTCTATAAAAAAACACATTTTCTTTTAACAATACGATTAATCAAAACGAGAGTAACTACAGCAACAAGAAACAGAACAAAAGTAACAATATATTAAAGAGAAGGGTTCATATCTTCGCTTATTTTACAAAAAAAGTTTACACTGTGATAGTCGATAGAAAATTTATATTAACTGTACCAAACGTTATATATTATTATAAGACATATAGTAAACCATCGTCACATCAATATATTTTTATTCGAAAATGATATTTTAGAATTAGATGAAAATACTCTTTTTTGGGTGCGTCATTATTTCTTGATATTTTAAACTCGACTCCTTTGAACTAAATAAATTTTGTTTTACAACCGTTTATTTAGTTACAGGAAAGTTCAAGCCTTGGAAACTTGAACTGGCCCATACTACATGTACTGTCTGTTCTGTAACTTTTCTCTCAACACAGTAGAAAATATATACATGAGACGTCATCCAAATAATTTGTTGATTCGAACTTTAGTGGCGGTCACCCATCCACTTACCAATCGCCATCCTGATGCTTAAGAGTATCCGTCTCCCTCTTGTTTTGACTCTTGAAACCCGGGAAAATCGATGCTTGATCAGGGTGTTTATTGCTCATAACGGGAATTCTCTCTTGATCTAATCGCTTTCCACACCGACCGTCTTTTTCTATTTCTTCCTTTTCGATCCACACATATTGTGAAACACATTTCTTTTCTCATGCGTCGACAATATATAACCACACGTGCTTTGTGTTTAACGGGGAATTTTCCAACTACTGATTCGTGCAGATAAACTGGCTTATAGTTTTTGTAAGTGAATTACAGCTTGCTTACAACTCATTTATACTCATATTACCTGGTAGGACAACACTCCTTTCAAACTAATTAGATCTGATGAAAAACATGTTAATGTGAGAGTTAGAAATTACACTAACCAACAAAAATGTTTTGATAGCCTGATCGCGATATTGAATTATATTCTGATCAGGATATAATTTCAATATATATTTAATATATATCCCGTTAGGGATGTTAAAAAAAAATTCTGTAAAAAAAGATATCTAGATCGGGATATATACAGGACAGATCGGGTATACTTCCCAATCGGGATATGTCTCCACACTGCCTGTCTGTCTGGTAACTATATATGACTTTCGTTGTGAGGTTTTTCCTAAACAATAAATTGCCACGGCTATCCTTTTTTTTCAGCTTTTATACAGATATTCTATTTAGATATTCCATAAAATCGTTCAAAAGTCAAAATGCCGTAATAAAATCCGGTCATATATTACATTTGTGTCATATTTAAGTCATTTTGATTCGCTTCTTACACTGTAAGAAGCGAATCCATATCCATAACAGAATACATATACCGGTTTCTTCCAAACCGGACGCAAGTATAATAGACTCGATAATGCTTAGTATAATAACAAATCAATAAATCTGTGATGAGTATATTTCCTTACTGTACTTTTCTACGGATAAGAGGTTCGTACTAATATCCAAAGCCCGGTTTCGATTTTCCAATTTCTTGGTGTTGTTGATTCAATGTTCCGGCATCCCTCGCCGGATCAAACGCCGAGTATTTTCCAAATCCGGCCATATGTGAAGCTGTGCAATGGAAACATTTATGCTTGCTTTATCCTGAAAGCAATTTGTTTTCGTTTATAATTACGAAACTTGTTTCCTGTGTCAATGTTTGAAAAAAATAGCAGTAGAAGATATAGGTGTATATTCTCTTCCTCATTCTCTCCGTTCATCATGGAAATGGTCAAACAAACAGAAAGTGAGAGAAAAAGAGAGAAAAGGAGAAGGAGAAAAATACCTAATCTCAACATAAAATGTTTTCTCGCTTCTTTTTCAAAAACTAGACGTTCCATCAGAAAACAAACATCAGATTTGGAATCTGCATGCAAAAAGGAATTAGAACATGTATGCTGTTTTTCTCTAAACCGCCCCCAAAAATATAAGCTTGATTTGCTATGAAAATAACATGTTCTCCAACACACTCCAGAACGTATATGTGTTCTTTCGTTATATATAGAAATTTAGCAATACCTATCTGATTCTTTCTGTTCTTTTTATGTAATAAAAATAATTTCTTAAGAATAGAAAGCTAAAAGTGCACTATACCCTATTTTTATTTTATTTATTTTTCTGTAAATGAGACAAAATAATTGTAAGAGAAGAAAAGGTGAAGTGGAAAAAACCAACTAGATGAAAAGTGAGGAGTTTGATGCTATAACTCTCATTCTTTTTCCGCTATAGACTATCAAATTCAAAAAGGTAACAAGTTTATCAGAGTGTGATTTGAAATTTGCACTTGTTTTACACAAACTAAACAATGTGTCACTATTGTCATGTGCTCGGTCATAATAAGAATGCTCCACATCATACTGGTAAAAATTGTAAAGACAAATCGAATTCTTATTCAACAGTTCCAATGAACGAAAGAATATTCAATGAAGGAAAATCGCTTTTTCAACGTACCGAGTCTCATAACTCTTCATTAACATCGACCGCGTAAGTTCTATTGTTTTACCAAACAACTGTTCTGTTTCGATAGATTGTTCTTCATCATTCCTAGAATTAAAAAAGTCACTCGCACGTGCTTAGTATGTTATGACGAAAAACCGTTGAAGGAATTTTGTACACGTTACAGTCGCCGATGTTTACACAACGATCGAAATATCTGCGATGGGTGTGTCTATCGCCATATTCAAGAAACCTGTGGAAAAATGTGTACGGACGTTAGATGCCCAGAAGTGAATTGTTTAATTGTGTTATCTTACGAAGCTATAAAAAAGATACTAACGTCCGGTGGACGAAAAGACGTTAAATTATTTGAACGATATGATCGATACGCTCTTCAACGTCGACTAGAAAAAATGTCAGAATTTATCTGGTGTGCACATGGATGCGGCTCTGGTCAGTTAAACAGTGGACGAGGTAAAAACTACATTGTAAAATGTGTAAAATGCAACCGAAAAACATGTTTCAATCATAAAACCGAATGGCATGAAGGACTGACATGTGCCGAATATGATGAAATATCAAATGGTGAATTACAAGCAACAAAAAAATGGATTACACAAAATTCGAGAAAATGCCCAAATTGTCCTTATCATATTGAAAAAAATTCGGGTTGTGATCATATGACTTGTATTAAATGTCAATATGAATTTTGTTGGGCATGTCTAGCTGATTATAAAATGATAAGACGTGATGGAAATCACAGACATGATCCAAGCTGTAAACACTACGCACAATACAATTAAGACATCGAATGCAACAAAAACTTGAAACTAATTTACTTTCATGATGTTAATTTTTTCTGAATGCTTTATTAAAAACTTCGAATGATCAACCTGTTTGTTCATGCAACTGTCGGATCTCAGGAGTCTAAAATCAACAGATTCTAAAATGGAGCAGAATTGAACTTCGACTGTGGTTGGATCGAGTTACATAGAAAAAAGTTCATTTTAGACTTTCTGAAGTCATTTTTGGATGAAAAAGTTTTCACGCATTTGTTTAGCCCTTACAGCGCAAAATCGAGTCTGTTTAACTCTTGTGAATTTGTTAGAACGATTTTCAGCAAATATTTCAGAAAAAAGGAAGATGAGTGTCGATTTGAACTCAGACCGTGGTCCCGAAAGACCAGTCGATAAGCTTTAGTCTCGTAACGAATGTGTTGGTTGAAGTTCGCGGCTCATCTATTCATACTCTATTCAAATCTTGTATAAACTTTGTACCACATCGTCGTTGGGCAATTACACAAGAACAAGAAATAAATAAATGAGACTTTTCTGTTCTGTGACTGCACAATCCTTTACACATTCGAGGACATACGTACATTCTGTGCTATCAAGTGGAAAATTTAGTTTCTGTAAACAAAGAAAGTTACATATTTCTTCTCGCGCGCTTTGAATTGCGTTCAAGCGAATTGCAGCTGTCTCTTTTTAATTTTTTCTGACATTCGTTGAATATGTAATAAACATTTTGTTGTTTTTCTTTCTTTTTTTTGTTGTAAAAAGTCGTCGTTTTTATATCTCTTTGCAACATATTTGCATTTTTAAACTAAAAGAGCACTCTTGTACTGAGATTTTTCAACATATTTTCCATGATATTACGATCTTGTTTTTTCATTGTTTTTTTCCCTATATCTCACACCTAATCCGTTTGAACTCGCAGAAATAAACTTGTATCTTCCTGCGCTATCCAAATTAGATTTTTCTTCAGAGTCACCAAATCATCATTAAACAGAACGGGATTGAAAATTCTCGAGAAATTGACCTCGCCTCAGTTACTTTTCTTCTACCGCAGATCGAAAGAGAATTCAATTTTATGCCCATATACATAATTGTAAACTTTAGATAAAAGTTTTTCATGGCAGAAAAAACCATCAATCTTTTTATGCTAAATTTACACTTGATATTTTTAGTTTTAGTGGAAAAAGCGAACGAAAAGCATTCAAGAACTTTTTTAAGAAATATTATTTTCCCTTTGTAAATTTAGCTATGGTCACTCTTTTCAATCAAAAGATATTGACAGGACAGAAGAAGAAAATCTGAAAAACCAGCGTATTTCTACCTACGTCTATCTCATTCTCACAGTCATTGCACTCATTCTCTATACATCTCTCACACCAATGACAAAAATCGGCGTCGTAAACCAGCCTACTGTTTCTGTCTACAACAATCTACTATTGAAATATCCAAATACATTAGTTTGCCCCTGTTCAACGATCCTAATTCAATATGAAGATTTTATTTCCTCATTCACACGTACATTCAATCAAATATGTTCAAGTGATTCTGTCAATGAAGAATGGCTAAACTATATCAACTACAGACCATTGAACAATGTAAAATATCGATATGGCTATGATTTTCGTTATTCTGGATATTCATTCGTCACTATGCTGAAAATTCTGTGCGCTCTCGTTTCACAAATAATCGATGATCAGCTGATTCAACTGCAAACAACGACACTATTTTCCGAATCTGTTCAACCAGGGAAAATCTTCCTAGCTAACCCTGAAGCAATACGCGAACAGTTTGTTAATACAACATTAAACTCATTTCAGCTGCACTCAGCACGATACGCACAGTACTCCAAAGTAATCAAATCGTTAATCGTCTAAACACAAATTTTCAACTGGCTACAGCACCACTCAGTAGCTCTGACAGTGAGAAATCTCGTGCAGTAGTATATATATATCTGTAAATGATAGTTGTACATATTTACAATCATCCTATTGTAAAACAACTACCGGTATCTACAATATGTCTGCTCACATCGCAAGTTGTAATTATAAACATACACCACCGTGCATCAATGTAATAGAAGGTGAGATAGAATTTGATATGCCAGGTATTAGTATTGGCTGTTTAGTTCTGGATGCTGTTCTACAGTCAGATTTACCTTGTTTCTACAAAGAATCTTATTTATCTGAATTAAATTTTCCGAAAATTTAATTGCACGGTGAATCTGTTAACTGGCAGCTAACAGATTCACCGTCATCATTTAATGCTACACCGCTCAAAGTCTGCAGTTTAGTAGCTTCTCTACCGACTATTGATGATCTCACTGCGAATTTGATGGTGGAGGAATGGTATTTTAATTCATCCTACGAATCGTATTTTGATCAGTGTAATCCGCGCACGTGTACCTATACCTATGTTAAACAATTTGATAGCGTCTGTGTGATTACCAAAACAATTGCCTTTATCGGTGATACTGTAACAATTCTAATGCTGATACACTACCCGTTGTTACAAACATTCAACAATGGATCAGTGCACGACGATCACCAGTTCAAGGTAAACTAGAGGGAAAAACTTGTTGTATGTCTATGTGTCGAAGTGCGAATCACTATTGCCACTTGAAAAGCCGCTCTCTTCTATCCAGTGCGACAGTGTGTCGTTTCTAGAACAGAGAAGATCAATGCGGTCAGTCTCTAGAACGGAGTTCTGCTAGTTTCCGACTTTACCACTAAAAACAGATTAAAATATGGCCCGGTGTAAAATACTACTCTTCTTATACATAACGATTCACTCGTCTCGTCTCTAAAGCAGCTGCGTATAAAAAGAAGTCAACCTCAAGGTCTGAAATTTCATTAACAGAGTAGAAGCGCTTGCTCAAAACCAAGTTCCTCGACGGTTTATATAAACTCGAATAGCTCTAATATTTACTTAAAAAATTCATTTTAAAACTTCTTTCATTCCAGTAACACGTCGTTTGGCCTTAACTTAACGTATCTCTGTCTTATCGACAAATATTAAAGGATTAGTCACTAGATTGAATCTGTTTATTTATTTTCTTAGGTTTTTCCCACTTTTACTAACTATTTTTAGATTAAGTCCTACTGGGTAGCCAACTCTCACCTCTGACTTTTTCAAGATTTTCTGTTCTCACGCATTATTATTCCGTTTTTAATGCTCAAAAAATGCATTAAATGTTTCCTCTGAATGCGTTCTTGGACGTTTGGAAACTCGTTTTTTTGTCAATTTTTTTACCGCTGGGATATCTGTGATTATTATATTTTCTAGGCAAAATCTGTGTTTCTAATCTAAGCGTTATCAGCAGAGAGTGAGCGGCATTTTTGAACAGCCGGACAAGTTGTTACAGAGCAAAAGCAGTCTTTTGGATGCTGATTGTGTTGAATCTTTGGTAGTATTAAAGCGTATTTAAATGCTATGTGGCTTGAATCAAAGTAAAATATAAGCCGTTCTCTTTTGTTTGTTGATATAGTTGTCTTACTCATACATATTTTTTCATTATATTTTCTACGAAGTTATTTTTTCTCTTCAAATTGATCCGTTTTCCTGCACTGCATATTGTCAGAATGAGTAAGAAAAGAAGTTGATCTAGCTAACACCAAGAGTTTCGGTCGACTTGGAAGCTTCGATACAATTCCAAGCTTGATGTGCACAACTGCCTATATTTTCATCGCTTGAAAGACAGTTACAAAGATACACAGCGTATTTTAGTGGCATAGACCACTGAAACACAAATATCTTTAGAAAACAATCAAACTTTTTTAGACTGTTTTTTATCGATTTAGAAAAACTTTTTAATCGACCAATCCGATTGAATAACGGTTTTATATGGAGACGCCTATGAAAAGTTGTAATTTTCCTCATGAAAAACTAGGATTTGAGAAAAACGAGTTTCGAATTTTTCATCGTTTCTTTTTAATAGAATGCGAAGTAGAACACATGAATGAAACTATACGTGAAAGCCTGATTATTTTGCGAAAAAAATTATGAAGTCTGATAGAGGAAACTTCAGCGCATCTTTCTATGATAACAGCTAAGTTTGATTTTTTTGTGAAAACTTCTAATTTTTGAGGGGGGATATATCGAATTTTTCCAGGAAAAATATATCTATCACTCCAAATTTCATGACGTTTGATTTTCTTCCGTTTTTTTACAGAATTGGCCAAATGTCACTTTTACCAAACGATCGTGCAGATATTGGTAAAACAACCTTTTTACAGTTATATTAAGCAAATGTGGGCAAGTGGCTAGTTGTGACCAGAGTGTGATTGGCTCATATGCATACCAATTCGAAATATGACAGAAAGAAATTATCCGAATAAATACAATGGCTATACCGAGATAGATATTATTAGCGTCGAGTGTTTTCCACACGGACAAAATTGAATTATCAGATATAATATCTGCAGCTCAAGCTAGGAAAATACTCCGGATATTAGATAAAATAATAATAATTATATTACGTCCTTATCACACGACAGTAATGAAAAATTATATGGAACTCGTGACCCAAGAGAGGTAAAACCTTTTTCTTTTTACCAAACTGTAGCCTAGACTTTCTTCTATCAATGGTATGAAGTTGAAATGTTAGCTCTTAATAGATACTGAAACACAGCTATTTTAGTGCTAAGGGCCACTTTTGAAGTTTGAGTCCCAAAAAAATTCATAACTCAATCTAGAAATATTATCTCCGAAATATTATCACCGTGCACTTGGTTGTTTTGTAAATAACTTTTGATAGAGATGAAAGAGCGACCTACAGTTTTCAGTTTTGAAAACTAGGCATCTGACCACATATTTCTGTAAGCAAAAGCGAATTTAGGAAAAACTTCTGAAGCGGGTTTTTTAGAGGATCTTTGGAAAACTAGTTTGGATTTTCCGAAATTCAAATAGGAATGGATTAATTTTTTCTCATGGACTGATAGCCCGGGGTGTTCTCTTCAAAATGGGAGTAAAGTGAGACCTTGATTTTCTGCGGTTCGGCGTTGTATCGGATTTCCGACGAGCTCCAAGACTGGCACCCGGTGACTCTTGGCTTTAAGGACGGATGGACTATTGATAATCGACTATGCTGAGTCTCATGACAATATTTGTTTTTAGAAAAAGTTTTAAAAATCTATCGAAAAGCCAGTTTTACGAAAATTAGGATTTTCAAGCTGTTTTCACCTATATTAGAAAATTCATTATTCACTCAAGAAACATCAGAATAAGCTCAGAATCTCATGATATGATCAATGTTTTCCGCTGAATGCGATTATAAGATCCAAGAAATCGAAAAGCATATTGTTGTTAATAGGTTTTCCAGAAACCCTTTTGGAAAATCTTAGGGTTTTACAAAATTTATTTTAAGATCTTCTATAAACAGGATATAGAATAGCTTAGATACTCCACATTCTGAAGTTCTGAGCTTATTCTGATGTTTCTTGAGTCGCTCTTTCATCTCTAGCAAAAGTTATTTACAAAACAACCAAGTGCATGGTGTTTTGGAACGGATAGTAGCATCACATGATATAGAAGTAAAAACTGAAATTAATATCGACGAGAAACAAATGACGTCTGCCGATATTGACGATCCATATGTTGTTCTTGATTTACTTACACTGAAAAGCATAACTCTGCGATAAGCCATTTAGAAACGTTGGAAACAGGGAATGCCCTTAACACCTCTAATTTGTGTTTGAAATAAGTCTGGTATTTGTAACAGGTTCTTTAGACCGCTGGTGATGTCCCTCAGCCGCGTTATGATTGTTGCTAGAGTTCTTACGACGCATTGCGGGTTGTTTTTCTTACTGTAATATCTTTATTTCGTTTTTTATCGATGGATTTGACGCTTGTAGTTCAGATTTGAAGGGAAGTGCACTAGCGACAGAAGTAGTCCGTTTTAATTCTCGTTCGAGAATTGATGGATTACTTGGACCATTAATTAACGAGAAGGTTGATTTATCACGTTTTACTAGAATAACACTTATATTTGACTCACGACGATTTTGTGTTTTAGCGAGACCACTGTTACCACGTTCTTGATTATCAACACCATTATGTATTTCTAATGATTTTGATCTTTTCTGTCCTCTATAAGCTTCTGTGGGCTTGTTATGTACTGGCGTTTTAGCAACAGTTCTACGATCAACATTTTCAGCTTCCGTTGGCGAATGAAGCACATCTAATTTTATCGCATCAGAATCCATAAAATTTGATGTTGATTGAAAGTTCTCAGACAATTTTGGTATGCTCATACGTTTTATTCGATGTACGGTAACTACACTGCATCGTCGATCACATTGCTGTTTTTCTGAAGATGACATAGCACTCCCTCTTCCTGTATTATCATCTGTTTTTACTACGATGTGACGACCTACTGATATAATTGATTGTTTTCGTGGTAACTTGGTGACTGAAACGGACAGATTAGATATTTGTTCTGCTGTACCAGTAGTATTTATATCATCGATATTTGGAGGATTTATTGCAGAATTTTCTAAGTGGTTGCTGCCTATTATTTGTTTATATCTGTTCTGACTTTTTACACTGATGGTACCTAAACTTTTCCGTGCTTCCAATTTACATCGAGCCCTATTGACAACTGAATCAGTTGCAGTGGCTGCTGAACAGTCACCAACAGAATCTGATTGACAAGCATCATAAACAACATAGGTTTTGGCCGGTTTTTGAAACAATGAAATTGTACTAGAATGTCTACTTCTTAGTCGATCTTCTAATGAATTAAGATTAGTAGAAGTTTCGTTCGTTGGAGTTTTACAAGTTTCATTTAGCAATCCAATATAATAAAACTGATAATCTTTACCATTCAGCAATCGTCTTTTTCTTTCTCTTCTATTTTTCCAACTATTAAACTTAAAACAAATCATTCATTTATCATTTTATGGGCTATTTAAGGGAAAAAAGTGTATAATTCCTTTCACTGGAAGTCCCGGGCTCATATGAAATTAATATTGGTGCCCGCAAAATATAAAAATGCGATAAAGAATAGATGATAAGGTCCCTGGCGATGAAAAATATATGGGATAGGTTACCGGAATGGCGAATCAGAGAACGGGCATGAGTGATCCTATTCATTGAAATTTCTTTTTAAGCTGATTGGATGATCTTATGTCATTAAATACCAGATGACGAATAGGAACTTTTCCGCGAGTGGAGACCTACCATAAACAATTGAATAACGCATAACAACAACAACTTAGCAGCGCTATTAAAGCTAATGCTGATAAAAATATTAAAGGTAAATAAGGTTCGGTTTTAACTGAAAAGAAAAACAAGAAAGTAATGTACTTTAGGTCAGATTAGATATCCGTCAACTTACAAAATGATTGTGTTGATGATGCTGGTATAGTACTAACAATATACACAAATATATTTTACAGTAATTAAAAGACGAAGATAAAAATGAATTTTAATCGGATACCTCCGTGATGCTTCGACTACCATGCTGTTTGTCGAGGTAGCTGTTGTACTGGCTCTACAAATAGGTTGTTCATAGATTAGTATTTGAAAACTTAGGTAAAGAACAAGAAAATTTAGGAATTTTAGAAATAATAGTATCGTTAATTCTTGTTTGTTCAGAAAGGCAAACAACAAACGTTGAGAGATCTTACGTGTTGGTATCAGTACTATAAACAGATGAACTGAAACATAAAGAAAAGAAAATTTAACGGAAATTGAGCTAAAATACAAGTTTTCAGTCTGCGCCGGAATTACATACGTCGAGATTGTGTTTGTAATTGTTGTGATACTTGTCGTATCGTTGCTAAAAGAGAAAGTAGTATTTAAATTTGAACATTTGCTTGCAATACAATTATTCCTAGCAGAGAACCAAAACAGTGAAAAAGTTTTCTTATCCTTCCTAAACCAAAGAGATTAAGGTTTATGCTGCAGCAACAAACAATGTACTAAATTAGAAAAACAAAGTTGAGTACAATCCCTTTGACGTTTTTTCACTTTTGCTTACATCGTGGCGGAAATATTTAAAACATTTAGACTAGTTAAAGTTGCTGGCGACGTTGTTGGTTGAGAAGTTGATTGAGAGGTGGTAAATATTGTGCTTATCTGGTATGTGATGACTGTTGAAGCCGTAGTTGTTTCAGTTGTGCTAGTATACATAAAAAGAAAATAATGGCCACATTATAAGACTAAAGTCTCTAGTGAAAATTTTAACTACTATCCGTTCCAAAATACAAGAGCATCGGTTGCTTTTTGAATAACTCAGCATTATATAAAGATAGAGACTTGCAATTTTCACCATTCGACAGCCAAGACTTGAGGCTACCTTTCATAAGCAAAGCTGATTTTCGATAACGTTTTCGAAGCCGGTTTATCAGAAGATCGTTGGAAAACTAGCTAGCCTATTCACCTATTCACAAAAATATGCTTTTCGATTTCTTCGATCTTATAATCACGTTCAGCGGACAACATTAATCATATCCTGAGATTTCGAACTCCTCCTGATGTTTAGAAAACCCTAATTTTCGTAAAGCTGGTTTTTCGGTAGATTTTTAAAATTTTTTCTAAAAACAAATATTGCCACGGGACTCGACGTGGTCGATTATCCATAGTTCATTCGTCTTTAAAGCCAAGAGTCACCGGGTGCCGGTCTTGCAACTCGTCGGAAATCCGATACAACGCCCGAACCGCAGAAAATCAAGGTCTCACTTTACTCCCATTTTGAAGAGAACACCCCGGGCAATCAGCACATGAAAAAAGTCAATAGATTCCTATTTGAATTTCGGAAAGTGCTGGCTAGTTTTCCAACGATCTTCTGATAAACCGGCTTCGAAAACTTTATCGAAAATCAGCTTTGCTTTTGAAAAGGTAGCCTCAAGTCTTGGCTCCCGAGTGGTGAAAATCGCAGGTCTTTATCTTTATCTAATGCTGATTTATTCAAAAAGCAACCGATGCTCTTGTATTTTGGAGCGGATAGTAGCATATTTCTAGCCATAAATATCAGCTCCATTACTCAACCACTATACCTTAAGACTGTAGTTACTTCACTGGTTGTTGTCGTTGATGTTGGACATGTAATACCACTATTCGGACATCCACATAGAGGATTTGATGATACATAAAAACTGAAACAATATTGACTGGACTGATCACCTACACTAATGAAAGAAAGAACGTATAAATAATCTTGGTTAAAGCTTTATCGTTTTCGTAAGGCCAAAATATCAGACATACCTACCTGTTTACGGCCATAGCGCACATCAGCTGAAAGCCAAGCTGAGCTTGTGTTGGTGTCCACATTAGATTTTTGTAATAGTACGTTGCATTATATTGCATCAGATTACTTTTTCCCATTCCAGGAAATGACAGAGTAGCAATGTCAATAATATTGACGCCTGAACAGTTATTCCATGCTATCAGTGTTGATGAATATGTCGTTCCAAGTACAACAACAGTACATGAAAATTCGAGTGGTGTCCCAGTAATTTGGGGACCAATAGAGCAGCTTAAGGGACTGACAACTTTGACAAGAAATTGGACGGGAACAGAGCTCATTGCACTGGTAGATGATGAATTATAAAAGTCTTCTACCTATAAAAAATGAACATGACTTCAATTTAACCTATTTCTTTTATAGAACGTTGGCAGTAAATGTAAATGTTTAATATTCATGATCTTCATCGACTCTGTACAACAGTCTATCAGAAATACTTTCTTTTTAATTAAAACTTCGGCAAGAGCACTTCATAGTAAGGAGGACGATCAGTGCACAGTAAAAGTCATATTTTTTGAAAAACAGATGGACTTTCATATTAAAACAGTTTCGGTTTCATTTTTCCGACACATCAGACGAGATAAAAATCTCTTACCGTTACGGTCACCGCATAATAATTGTTAACAACGGTACCGGTAATTGTAATTTTGCAATCTGAAGATATTGTTGTACCCGTTGGTAATGAGCCAGGGGGACAAACGCCACTACATTCGCTAGTTCCGCTTGCCCATCGACATCGCAAGTCATCGTCATTGGCATCAGAAACTGGTATTTGAATAGTGTATAGAACATTTACTGGTATATTAATGGGCGACATCATAGTGGACACCGGTGCTGAATTATATATTCCGTCCGGTCGAAGACTTAAATCAATTCTAGTTCCAATTGACCACCCTAAACTTGAACTTCCACTTGATGTAGGTAGTGGGCGCCACGCAGCATTTACATTAAAAAAAATTATTATTCGAATATAATGTCCTTGTGTCGGACCGTTGCCCAAAAATAGTGTACATGTACGAACTCTGATCTGTACAAATTGGTAATATTGGAATTTGACTATATCCGTTAGCATTAGTGATACACGTTCCAATACAAGTTAAATACTGAGTTCCTACAACACTATAAGAGCCTGGTATACCCACTGGAGATTGACTCGTAATCATTGTATTATTACACGTAACCGTATTATATGTCCAAAAATAAGTTTGCGTAATTATTATATCGACTGGACTGCCTGTTGTAGTCACGTTTGCTGGACGCCATGTCACCGTTTCACCGTTGAAATGCGACGCAGAGATAAGATTACTAATAAGGAAAAAAACGATGAAACTGATCGACAACATTCGAAGAAATAGAACAAAATGGAAATGTTTTATTTGAATAATTCCAGCCAAGTGTGTGTGATGAGGACTATGTTGTTAGATACAACCAACTCATTATTCACAAAAGAATAAAATTCATCAGAAATAATATAGAATACGTAAATATTAATTTCGTTAAAATGGGTTATACGACTTCATATTTTTTATAGCTTCTACAATGTTTGTTTTATGTCGAGGAATGTGTTAGTAAGCAAGACTGTTTTTGTTTAATTAATATTACATCATACATTAAAAGAAAATTGGTATTCAAAATTATAAAAAATAAACAAATTAAATGTACTTGAATATTTGAATTGTAACTTCTTAATGGGTTCACTGCTATGATTATTCTTTGTTTGGTGAGGCTGATACAAAATAATTAAGTTATTAGAGGATCCTCATTAAAAATATTTAGTCAGATTTTATATTCTTTCGCTGTATCAAATAATTGGTGAACTTTCTGTTGATAAGAAATTGTAAACTCTAAATTAAATAAAATCGGCTCTGACGAATTAATTTTAGAAAAAAGTTTACGCCTAGAATGGTATGTATCAGAGACCGAATCGGGGCTTAGGTGGATGACCCGACCCTGATCCGACCCGAAGTGGTACAAAATTTTCGAAACCTGAATGACCCGAAAATTTTCTTAGGTGATCTGATAAATATTTCGGGTCATCGGGACGAACTTTAAGTACGTGAGGTTACCGTTCGACTACTAGCAGGCGACAAAATTTGACCGCAATAGAAGACCACCATTTAGAACTGGGACAAAATACAAGATCAGGTGGTCTTCTGTTACGGGGGGTGGGAGGGGGAGCTGGGCGTTACCTTTTTTCCGATAAAAAAGGTACATGTTGAAAAATAGATGAGTGAACCCTAACCGAAGAAAATTCCCTGATATATTTTTTCAAGTGGCAAGACCTGTAAAACCGGAAATTTTTTTCTCCTTTGACCCGATCCTAATCGATATTATTTACATTGACCCGAACCCGACCTGTTTCAGTCTGTGGTATGTACAGATCTGTGCGCCGATCGGAAAATTGGCGGCGGAGTGTAACAAAATTTTTTAAGATATTTTCTAAAGTACCCTGATCCAGAAGTTATCGCGCACCATATAATCAACCATAGAGAAGACGAATCTGCAATCGATTTTTACCGAACAAGCTTTTAAAATTCTTCGATCCGGTGATATGATTATGAAAAAAAAATCGGGGCTCTACTACTATAGTTCAGTTGTGGTTCAATCGCTTTACAAGAGTACGATGACGAATTAAAAATAAAGTGTAATGAATTAGAATAGAAACAATATAATAAACGAAAAGGTGACGTATTCATGGAATACTTGAAAATAGAATGAGAACATGCGCAAAATCGCTATTGCTATTGCTAAAACAGTGGCTATGCATTAGAAAAAAACCTGTCTGTGCATGTCATTGTTTACGGCCTAAAAATGAATAAAATAAGTTTAACAGCAGAAGACAATTTCATTTTCATTTATTTGTAAAATATTAGCACTTTCGATGTCTAAGACATTATCTTCAGGTGAAAATAACGCCAATCTCATCTAAAATTACACTATAGAAAAACCCAGACATTAGCAAAGTAAGCAAACACACGCTTTAAATGAAATGTGCATATAGAATGAAGTTAAATCCCTTTCATTTTCACTTTTCTCTTTAGTGTAGCCCGTGAATTGCTCTATCGAATGCTGTGTAAAGTAGATTGGTTAACGAGAAATTAGTCACCGTTATAAACATGAACGACGTTGGCCTACCGGTTTCCTGGGATGCTACCGAGTATTTCGGATCTTAGACCACCCAGTTACATCTTCTTAAGATTATCTTATACATCATTTTGAAGTCCGTGAAATTCTCTATCGCATGATGTATATGCTGAGAATGAGAAAGAACAACAGCATGTTAATAATTAATAATAAGCTTTGCTTTTATATGACAGCTGTAATAACTCGACTGAGAAATCTGAGTTATCCAAAGTTTTTTAGTGAATAAATATCATTCATGTACCCTAGGTACTTATACTCGGGTTAATCCAGAAGGAACATACCACGTTATACAAAACTATTTACGCCAGCGGCGCGACACACATTGCTAGATGCAGTTTTGGACGCTGATTTCAATGGTGAAAACGCCAGCTCTCATCTTTTTCGGAACAAAAGTTATAT